TATGTATGTATGTATGTATGTATGTATGTATGTATGTATGTATGTATGTGTGTATGTATGCATGTATGTATGTATGTATGTATGTATGTGTATGTATTTGCGTCTGCAACATCGCTTGCATATTTTGATATTCTATTTTTTAAAAAGCCATTAAGCTGAAACTTTGGCAATTTTCTACCACTAGGGGTGTGTTCCCAAGCGCAAAACAAACAATTACCTCTTCTACAACTCGGTTCTCACATGCGGAGATGTGAAAAACATTTTGACGGGAAAACAATTTTGGAAAGTAAACAAATTAATACGGTGAAATTTTGTAAGGATGTCTCTTGCTCACATTTGATTCAAATAATTTAAGCTCAACTGTCACGCATGCCTAGACCTCATGTATGTACAAACTGACATCATGTCAACTCGAGAGCCAGACTGAGTAAAAACTAATTTTACGACTAGATCTGCTGCTCACCTTTTGGCTTGTAAATTTAGTGAACTTTCACATTCCTAAATCCCACGTACACGACGGAATTTGACGTTGGTAATTTCTTAATTTTGCAACCAAAGCATCTAGAGTGCCGAAACTTTCTGCCCATGATCCAAGATCATGTTTGGGCACGTGCAACCAAAACCAACTTTTATATTTCCTCTACATTTTACGTACGGACACATGCAACTTGACGTTGACAGTTTTCTAGTTCTTCAGCTGAATCAGCTAAGGGGGCTGAAATTTTATAAGCTAGATTTATGATATTGTGCAACATCTACGCGAAGTTTCACGGGTACATCCAAAGTACTGCAGCGTGCTTTTTTTTTGCTAACAATTTAGGTTTTTTAGCGGATTAACTGGGCTAAAATCTTGTGCCAATAATTTAAATGAACTGTGCTAAAATTTCATAAGCGAGTTCAAGGCATAGGGCCAGTGAATTTACCTAAAATCAGTTTCCACAGCCCATAAATGTCATGCCTGGACATAAGACAATTTGTAACGAGTTGTAAAAAAAAAAAAATAATGGTACATTCCGCTACCGACCTTGCTATAATTCTCGAAACTGTAAAATTTGCTAACTCTGTCATAGTTATACGGTGCGAGTATTAAGACTATTCTCCCTTCCAGTCCGGAAATACCAACGCTCGACTACGATCCGAGTTCACAGTTATTGGATTTTCAGAGAATCCAAGCTAGCGAGATGGCCTACTGTGTTTGCTAAAATAAAAAGGTGAACAATTGAATCCGTGGCGAATTGTTCAGTCTTGCTGCAGGGCACCAGCCTAGAAAGAACAAAGCAAATTTCAGTGAAATGTTGTAATAAAGCTTCAATTTCTTCCCGTTTTCATCTCCATTTTCTTTTCCAGTTAATGTGGTATGCAAATCTAACAGCACGGTTCAGAGCTTGGACTAATTTTTTGGCTTATTTATTCAAAATTTTGTACCCAATTTTTACAAATGATTGATACTGGTTGAATTACTGGAAACTAGCTTTCAAAACTCAATGCGGTTCAGTTTAAAAATTTCCGAAATATAGTGCTTCTACCTCATTTCGTACTTTTCTTCAGTATTCCCTTGATGGTAAAATAACTGGCGACACTCAACCTGCTGTGTGCCCTTGGAATTAAGGCCCGTGTCAGTGCGCAAAAAATCTCTTACTTTTTTGTTTTCAGAAAGCGCCATAATGCATCGATGTATGTATACATATTGGATGTCGGTTTGCACAGAGCCATGTCGCTGAAGACGAAGTTCCCGGACAATATCGCGCATGTTTACTTTCATGCCATTATTGAACATCGCTTCTGCTACATCCAGTCCCACAATTGTGCCTGTCCGACCGATACCTTCAGACAACAGTGATAAGGCAATAACGCAAATGCCAAGATGTGCATACATTTTTGAAATCTGTTTCCGTGTATCACCATAATGGTTTCCACTGCGTCTTTGGATTATCTCTCGGTGGCGCTCAAAACAGAATTTTTAGCTGTTGACGGAGATCACACCATTATGGGTAGTACACTTTGTCTAGAACGGGTCACTTATTAAGAATGCGATGTCTGTAGGTGTTTGCATTTTTTGCTTGGTACATTCTATAGCCCCTAGTTGTGGAATTGGGCTGGAACTGCATTTGGTGAGTGATTCGTCTTCTACTCGCTGATGCAGCGCACCTTAGTTCATCTGCTTTTGCCAAAGCCGATGCCTTGGAATCCTGTATCGCTGCTTTCAGTGCGATGGTCCTTGAGGAAGTGAAAATTGGCGCAACACTTGATTGCAGGCATGGTGAACAAATTTAGGTTTCACTTCTACTGCTAAAAGCAGGTGGCAGTCAGTGAATAAAAAGATATACTGATATTAAAGAAATCGTTGGCATATGGCACAAGAAGCAGTCGTACCGGCAGAACAATGGATAACAACGTGGCTTTGATTTTTGATCCGCTGTAAGAGTCGAAACGGAGCCAAGAAATTGTTTGGCACTCCACGATCCGGCCAATCGTTCCATGCTACATGCTCAATTTGCAGATTATTGGTGCCATCCGAAACTACCAAAGTACTGATCGTTAACATCTTCTCCTCCTGCACCACTTTGCTGCATAACACTTTCAGCAAACCGTAGTTTTTCTGCAGCGCATAACTCATTTATTATTCAGAGTCTAGAAGCTGCTGGTGAACAGTTCAGAATGAAAAAGTTCAGAGTGAAGAGTGTCTGTGTGCCAGATCAAATTCCAAAGTTAAGCAAATACACCACATTAGTGTCTGAGACGTATAATTTTAAAGAAAAGAGGTAATCCTCTTAGTTATCAGTCAAAAAAGAGACATGCATCGATTTAAAACTGTGACTATAAAGTAGGAGTTTTGAGTTACTTCGAATTTATGACTGTGCTGTATTTCAAGGTCAAATATATGTAGTATTTCAAATTCAAAAACATTCGGGATATGAAAGTCGAAAACAACTTTACATGCAGCTCGGACAGTTCTGGGAAATTCGAGTCAGTACACAAACCGGAATGAACTTATACCCAGAGGCTTTCCGATTCTGAGCTAAAGTTCTCTGCCTGTTTTCACTCCCTCGATGCGCTTTTCTTCGGAGATAGCTCAAATGTTAGTTTTGTTTCTTGTTGACACCATGCTAATATACGCACGCACACTACTTTATGCAATATATATCCTATTAATGTCCAAAACCCCAGCCGCAACACTGGCAATCTTTATAACTCAAATTGTATGACTTTGCTTGATTTCAATTCTACCCCAATTATAAACCAGGAATTAGTTTGTTAAGTTTTTGTGACCTATAAAAAGACAGTATGCTTGCCTCACCCATCCATTTAAATTCCATTTAAATCTATTTAAATTCATTTTCTAAAATTCTAAAAAACTGTGATGTTAATGTTACAGTTTCTCCTTCAGCAGCTGGCCAGTACTGTTCACATTTTTTCTTCCCACATTCGATGATATTACAAAGCATAATTATTGTACGACAACTTTCTTGCCATACCATACGCCAGAAATCATCCACTGTATTCTCTTTTGGTGCCTTAAAATTTCCTTGATTTCCTCTCATGATAAAAACATGCCATTTATAATTTTATGTATCGGGCTTTAAACAAGGCAACTTAAGGAACTAAGCAGCGCCGAAGTAAGATGTAAACGCTTTGCCAGCTTCAAGCCAACTGAGTAGAAAATGTGCTTCACTTTGTTCGGCTATGTCAGGCACGGGCGAACTTTGGCGAAACGCCGGCCTAATTTACCTAATTAAGCTTGCGGGCTGTGGAATCATGCGTTTTTGTGCTAAACTTGACGCAGTCAAATCGTTAACAGTATGAATGGTTGTTGTTTTACAGTTTAACACGTGCAACTCGTGTATCTGTGTTTTGGTCTTTTCTTGCATGCAGGGGAAAGATCACCGGCTGGGACCGTAGTGCTGCATCACTGAAAGGGAGTGACAAAGTTCACTCGATTCTGAACACACACACACACATACAGATATGGTAGCGACATTATACGTTTTTGCATTTGCATAAAACAGATAAGTTTTTATCAGGTTGTTCTTCCGGTAAAAAAAGCAACAACAAATTAATGTGAGCTCTGGGCACAAACTTTTGAAATAAGGTTGTTGAAATCTGGATTTACATCACTGTCACAGTCTCAAAGCATTTGACGGACTGTCACCTATTAGCCACATGCGTATTTTCCTTTATTTTCATGCGAGTATAGAGGCGTGGCGGAGTACATACCCCGGTTCGTCTAGTTAGGCACCACCTTCCAATTCCTTGTGCGTGTCGGATCCAGCCCGCGGATCGTCGGTTGCCCACATGTAAGCTACGAAAAGGTTATGCAGCTACGCATAAAACACAGAAATGCACGTCTGTGACGTAGCATGGGGAAAAAGATGGATGAAAAAAAGGATTTCAGTCTCATAGCCAAAAATGTCCTTAACTTGTCTGCAGATGGGATGTTGGAAAGTGTGAACGCTCTTATTGCGTCTTGAGACCCACCAACCAACATTTCAACTTCGTAGCTTTCGCAGCTCTGGGAATCGAAATATGCGGGAAGATACACGCGTGCACATACACATATACACACACAAATACAAATAGTCTCTTGAAAATATGTGTCTTTGCATTTTAGCAATACACATAAAACGGACCTCAGTATTCCCATGCCATTCATCCAGGTTTATAGCGGCGGTTTGACTTCGGAAAATAAGGGGCCGCAAAGTACTCGCATGCCCACAGCCAGGTTGTATATAGACGTTACTGACTTGAAAGAAGTTGGCAGCTACGTCTGCCTTGGCTAAGAACTAAATATGTGCTACAGTTTTTTCTTCTGGAGTTGGACGCAGAAGACTTGCTGGCTGGTGCAAATTTCATAGCACTATCAAAGCTGTCAAAAGTGTTGAACAGGAAAGACCGTGCCCATTTCTTTGATCACCACTGTTTTGTGGGCAATGACGTAAATTTGCGACACGCAGTCAGCACTGATTGCAGCGAAGGTAGCAGTAGAACGAAGAATGCTTGGAGTGTTTGTAACCACAGGAGTAATCAGACGCACCACCACATAAGCAGCATGCAAATTAAAATTCGATGGGCAAGCTTGGTGCTCACTCTGCCGAAAACTGGTCAATGCCACCTATTAGTGAGTCCGGCAGCATTCGAAGAGATAGCTTACATATATCGAATAGGTTGCTGTGCTAACTGAACATGTGCAGCTTTTGGAGTTAGAAAGGGCAGATATGAAACATCGCATCCCCACGTGACGTTTCATCCTGCTCACTTCTAATTCCGAAATACGACTAGCCTCATTTCGTCTGCAAAGGGCCATCCTTACAGTGCTAAAATTTGAGGGCTCTGTTGTGCTTAACCTATTTAAATGCAAACTTAACCTACTTAATCGCAAAATTGCTGATAATTTTTAAAGCTCACAGGCGCAAACAAAATAAAGAGGTGGTTTTATGCAAGTTTTATGTTATTAATATTTTATTAATGGCACTGAAAATCTCGTTAATTTCATGAGTTAAAATGCAAAGATGTCAGTAACTTTTCTGAAGTAATTTATTACAGAAGGCGTGGAGAGGCGATATCCGCTCCCAGTGCCCTGATGGGAGTGAAAATGAAAAATTGCAGCGGAGCTCAAGAAGGTAGTTTCGTACACGTGATTTTTTCTGCTCTGCGTAGATAGCTGTAAGTAGTTGTACTGCAGTGTGGAGACAGGCCATACGACAAAATGAAATGCCCCTCATGAATTCTTGTTTTCCGCATCGTAGTAATACACAGCGTCGAATCAGCTGCGCTCAAAGCAGTGTTACTAGCAGAGACCAAATGTCTGCTCAGACAAATGTGGGAATGCGAAGAACCAACAAAACTGACTCTAGGGTTCGACTTGATTCAGTGATTGTGTGTATTCTGTAATGAAAATGAAGCTACTCCCTGCAAGGTTTATGAGGAATAGTAGTGCATTTGCTTTCAGATCATCCTGGTAGTTAAAAAGAACGAACATCCGAACAAATGACGAGACGGGTAGGCAGGCGGACGCAATTAGCCAGCAAAGCGATATTTTTAAGGAAGTGGTGAATTTGGGTTTTACAACGAATAAGCAGTGGTACCTGTGTGCAGATAAAGCGACGTTTGGTTGTTACTACATCGACCCAATTTGCATGAATGTAATCATTTTCGGATGGTGGGTTAAGCACAACGCGTGTTTCGTCAACGCAGAACACATCTGAAATAAATAACTTATATCTGCAATAGAACAACCAGTCTAGAATGTTGTTTTTTGTTCCCAGCGGCTAGCCAGAGTGAAAGGCATACTGAGCACCCC